CATAAGACCAAAGGATCTGCTCCGAGAGGCAGCTGGTTCGGCCCGGCCAGCGGGTGGACGCTCTCGGCGCGCTGCCGGGAGAGAGAGACCTTGATGCCGGGCCTTGAGGGTTTAGGGTTTAGGGTTTAGGGTTTAGGGTTTAGGGTTTAGGGTTTAGGGTTTAGGGTTTAGGGTGTAGGGGTTGATCGACTTGAGGGTTTGAGGGTTTTTCAGGTGTAGGGCTTTGGGGGTTTAGGGTTTAGGGGTTTAGCGTTCAGGGTTTCCTAGAAACTTTTGGAAGGGTTGCTATAGGGTTTGTATAAGGTTTCGTTTGGTTTTATATACTATCGGAGGCTTCTCAATTCCTACAGGGCCCTACTGTCGGTCAATAGATGCTTACCCTATTTGGGAATGCTAAGGTCCAGGAACTTTTCAGACCTTATCTTAGGGTCTGGTGTTCAGGGTTTCAGGTGGACCTTATCTTAGGGTCTGGTGTTCAGGGTTTCAGGTGGATTTAGGGGTGACCGGAAGAAGTTGCATGACAAGTTCAACAGCTGAGGAATCCTGGTGACATAGCAAGATCGAATGTAGAAGCCTTTCGGAAAGAAAGAGAGATACCCCAGAGTCGTCGTCCAATTATAAGACTCCCCCCCACCCCTGAACCCTCAACCCTAAGCCCTAAACCCTAAACCCTAAAACCCAAAACCCAAAACCCTAAAGCCTAAGCCCTAAACCCTAAACCATAAACTCTCTAAGCCCTAAACCCTAAACGTACCAAAGGTACCTTGGGAGAGACCCGGACCGAGGCCCTTCAGACTTTCACTTTCTGCAGGGCCCGGGTTATCAATCCGGGTTCAGGGTTTTGGGCTTTAGGGCTTTAGGGTTTTAGGGTTTAGGGCTTTAGAGTTCAGGGTTCTAGGGTTTAGGGCTTTAGGGTTTAGGGTTCTAGGGTTTAGGGCTTTAGGGTTTAGGGTTTTGGAGTTTAGGGTTTTGATCGTGTGCTTGCGCCACTACCTCCGCGAGCGTATGCTGCGCTGACCGTAGCACTGAAACTCCCGCACCTCACGAACTGAAGCATCACGAGACGATGTTGAAATATGTTGAACATGGCCAAACGCCAAGGAGTTCGTGGTGAAGAACCTGGACAAGTCTGCCAGGTGCGGGTTTGTAGATATGGCAGGACAGCTTCGATTGAGGACTGCAAGCTACCTGAACTCCACCTCGACCTTGCCAGCACCACGCAAGACAAAGGGATCCCTGTGTAAACCCCTCCGGCCCTATAGCCCTAAGCTTTTGACCGTAAGCCCGGAAATCTCAATCCACCCCCGAACCCTAAGTCTTAAGCGCCTGACCTGTGAAGAACTAAATTCAAATCCGAGGCCCCAGACCCCCAAAACCTCCAAAGCTCGAAGCCGCAGCTTAGGCCACCATAACTTTTTCGGCAGCTTGTTTTATAACCTGTTTATAGCTTTCCTAGGAAGGCTACATGCAGGGAGAGAGGGGGTGGAATCCAGCCAGGTCACGGGAGTGGGATCCCACCTACTTCCACGAGCTGGATGCTGTGTCTGTGGGCTTCTCAGTGGTTGGGAGGCTTAGGGGTGTGACTATCAACCTTAAAGGCTTTCTTTTTAAGGCTCGAGAGATTCCTTCCACGGTTCCCCACCATGGTGTTTCAGGCGTCACAGGCAAGGGGGCATCCGAAATCGTGGCGGGTGTGGTTGGGCTTATGAGATTTGTGCCCACATGTTGCAGGCTGCTGGGTCTGGAGGATTAATTTAAGATCCAGCAGAGTGGCTTTGAGCCTTGATGGTTCAACATGCTCTAAATACAATATATACAAATTCGGGACTGAGAACTTAAAACCAGACTGTTGATTTTGAGGATGTCCCGGGCGAGACGAAGCGGCACAACAAGCGCCTTAACCCTACGCCTCAAAATCCTGAAACCCTTCCTCTATTCGGCAACTGCCAAAACGAAACATTCTCGCTGTCAATGAGCATACGGCTTCGTGAGACATGACTGCTGCAGTTCCAACTCTTGCAATGTTTGCAATGTCTTGTCTGTGTTTCCATTTGCCCACTGGGCCCAGGCACTTGTCCATCTGTGCTGCTGCGCGGCTCTGCTGTGTCCTCGAAGCAAGGAGATTGCTGGTCGGAGGAAACACGGCCATCGAGGGCTCTTGGTAACATGAAAAGGTCCACCAACACAGCGAGCAACAACAAGGCTGTTCAGAGTAGTGATAGCAATGCCGTTGGGTTTGGTTCCAACAGTCAAGTCTAGAAATCAGGCGCGCTTTAAGCCACACTCAACGAACTCACGGTTCGGTTGTTTCGACCTGAGGTGCAGGCTTTGGTGTGTTGTGGTTGGAAGAAGGCGCTGAGGGGGGACCCCAATACTGTACATGTGCAAGCTTTGCGGGGTCGTCCGGAACCTTCACACTTCAAGTCGACGATGAAAGGCACACTTCCATCACTAAGCAGACAAGGCATACCGATGTTAGGAAATCTACATGCCTGTGTCGGGAAGTGTGGCTCAGGCTCAACTTTCTTGCGTTGACGGCAGAGCTCATTGGCGCCTCCTTGCACAGGAGGTGTATGGTCGGCATTTCTGCCCGCTTTCGGATTGAAGGAGTGCCGAATTTGCATGTGCGCATACGAGCTCCATGTCATGTGCGGCCAGCTTGGCTGACTCTGCTCTGGTTCTTCTTGTGGAGCGACTGCAACTGCTGTCACGACTACTACTACAGTACGACTCATGCCACGGTTACTGACCTGTGCATTACAGGTATAAGGCCTCAAGTTCTTCACTGGTAAGATAGCTTATACAGCTGTGAGATCTACGCAGTGCTATCATTCGATCTAGATTTGCATGCTTCATGAACATCTGCATTAAGTATACCCCTGTCAAGCTTCTGGAGTCGCGATTATGATGAGAGCATATCGTGCTCATTCATTTGATTCTCAGCTTCACCAAGTATTTGCTGCAGTGCATCTTTTTTGTGGTTTCGATTGCTGTGCTGCTGTATGCCCATAGACAGCGTTGCTACCGTTGCGCTTGATGTGACATTCTGCTGTATTCGTCACTGGCTCTAGGTACACGTTGGTACTTGCATCCATCACATGGTCAGCTTTTTCTACCTTGCTATCATTGCCACCAGCATGCTTTCATTATATTGATGACGTTTTTGTCTTCCCTCTCCTTACTCTTCCCTGCCTACGCCTCTTGGGCCTCTTGTAAGCTCCTCTCCATCATAGCGGTCTGAGCCTTAACTATGCAGCGCCATCATCACCGTCATCGTCAGTACACCGGTGCCAACATCACTGTCGTCTGTTGCAGTCGTTGTCTCTCCTTTTTATTAGGCTGCTCGTGAAGGGCTTATGATTCTGCTTGATGGTCTTGCTCCTGCCATTCGCATGATGGCCCAATGCTTTGCTTGCTGCCGTCCTCATCGTCTTGGTACATTCCTATCGTTGCGTAAGTTTCTCTAGAATCCTACACCCAGACCCTAACTCCTAAACTGAAAAGGGAACCCCTGGACTGAACCAGCCCTCAAAACCCCTAACCCTAAATCCGCGAACCCGGAAAACCTGAATGTAAGCCCTACCTATAGTTTCCATTGTAGTTCCTTTTTGGGGTTACCTTATAGAATCCTTAATATATAATTGGTTAGACCAAAAAAAGGAACTGCAGTGGAGACTATAGGTAGTATCATAGTATGGGGGTTGTCGGGTCCGAGCAGGCAGCTTCCTGCAAAGCGGTTCGGCTCAGTGCCGCTTGGTTGATGTTACAGGGGCTCTCTAGGGAGTGTCGTACGGTTGTAGAAGCCTTTTATGAGTTCGGTGGGAGTCTACTACATCTTTGATACAATGCAAGGCTGTCTTGCAGCTTGTTATGTTAGAACCTGTTCGAGTACCTCCTATGTACAGGCTTTCTTCAGCGCTGCTTAAACTGGAATGAATCGCTCCGTCTCTCGCTCGCTCTCTCTCTCTCTCTCTCTCTCTCTCTCTCTCCAGGGTATATTGATGTACATGCAGATGATTCAGGCGTGTGCTGCGTTTGGCCGGTGCTCTCTCGATGGCCTCGGCTGCAGCCGTGGCGTTCGCGCTGACCCAGTGACCTGACGTGGCGAACTTCGGGGCCATTTCTAGGGCTCTCAGAGGCTCTCAGGATTTGAGAGTTAGGTTTTAGGGTCTTTGGTCGGGGGTTTTACTTGTTTGAGCTTGAGGGTTGCAAGAATCTTGGCGGTAAGTGTATGCAAATGGCCGAGGGCTTCAGGCTTTCGATCGTTGATTCATCATGTTTCAGTCGCAGCTCTTGGCTGGCGAGCCCGATTATTCGCGACCCGCATTTAGCTTCACACTTGTTGTCATTCCAATAATGCTCGCGAGTTTAACGCATAAATTCGCGCATCATTGCTGCCACATGCCACTGTGCAAACGTAATTCCATGTCGCTCTTTCCTCTTTTCCCTCTCTGTATCTCTCCCTCTCTCTGTCTCTCTTTGTCTCGCTCTCTTGTCCCGCAGTTCTTCGCGGGCCACTGAGTCGCCGACTACATTGAGTTCAGGATTGCGGCATTCGGGTGGTTGCAACAAGGTGTGTGTTGCTGCAGGTCATGTGCTGCTTTTCAAGCCGCTTGTGATATACATACTGCTTTGCGATTGCGAGTCCGAGGAAACGTTTCAGAGGGAACAGAACTCGCTCATGCCGTCTTCCTGCGAAACCAGAGGCTAGTCAGCCAGTCGTCATGGCTGGTCCCAACTGCAACGAAAGGAAAACAACAGAAGCGCAGCGAACATCTGCTTTTAAAGTAGCCACTCTTACGTTCTGTCGAGGTTGGAGAACACAAGCCCCAACAAGACGCAACCACAGATAGATGCTTGTATAACACTACCAAAAAGTTCTCACAACTATACGATATCTCCGTATACAACTGCAACGCACCTGAACAGCCACCCGCGCACTAGCGTCTAAAGGGAAAGACCGCCCCACGACGGTGCTTTGAGACTTTGTGAACCCTGAGGTACTCCGCTGTTTGTCGCTACCGACTGAAGGCCGGGGCCGTTGTAACAATGTACATGATTTTGGAAAGAGATTTAGGTTCCGAGGGCTCGGCACTATGAAGAAAACAGCGGGAATACAGTACAGAGTGGGCTGACAGGCCTCAAGCCCCAATCGTTGAGTCCCGATCTAGATACTGGGGTCCGAAAAGCATGATACTAAAAACTCCCTAAGCCCCAAACCCTATAAACCTAAACTGTACTAGCAATGAATTCTTCTTCTCTCCCTAACAGAATCAAAGTATCGAGGCCTATGGGCTCCAGGCCCTCAAAACTTAGGGCATAGGCGGCATAGGATGTTTTGAGAAGTCTCTGGAACGGAGAGCAGGAATAGGATTTTGCGGTTCTAAACCCAGATCGGACCCTGAAGGTTAAAAGCTGGGCAGCTTGAGTTTGTGTTTCCGGGCCATTTTGGGCGTATTAAAAACCGAAGAGGGTTCTAAAAACCTTCTTGAGATTATGACTTGTGTCGGATGCCTCCATCAAAGACACGAAACCTTGCCCACCGCAACTCTGCCGGCAGATGGGGCTTCCGAGCTTCTGGTCTGGTTTCAACCTGAACCCCTTTGTGTGTGTGTGTGACTCCCTCCCTCCGTCCCTCCCTCCCTCCCTCGCTCGCTCGCTCGCTCGCTCGCTCGCTCACTCTCGCTCTCGCTCCGCTCTCGCTCTCGCTCTCGCTCTCGCGCTCTCGCTCTCTCTCTCTCTCTCTCTCTCTCTCTATCTATCTATCTATCTATCTGTCTATCTGTCTATCTGCGGTCCCCCAGAGAGGGGTGCTGGAACCGTTATCCCGAAATCCTAGAGGGTGTCGTCGTTGTTTTTTGTCTCGCGAACTGCGGGCCGAGAGAAATGGCCAGCTCCTGGTAAAGAGGCGTAGCCAGCTTTAAACAAAACCTGCTGTAAACCTTAAACACCCTAAACCTGAAACCGTGAGCGTTAAACCCAAAAAAACTACTGTAATCCTTAAACACCCTAAGCCCTAAATCCCAAAAGAACCTACTGTAAACCTTAAACCTTAAACCCGTAAACCCGTAAACCCCAAACCCCAGGTACTGGTTTCAGAGTTCCTCTTGGGCATCACGGCCGGTGACGTGGTCGTCTGGCCTCAGGACCTGACCATGGCCTGGGGAGGAGGCACGATCGGGGCCTGGGTTCTGGGCCTGGGGTTTAGGGTTTAGGGTTTATAGGGTTTAGGGTTTAGGGTTTAGGGTTGAGGGTTTAGGGGTTTACGGTTTAGGGTTCTGGGCCTGGGCTATTTGAGGGCTTTCGGTTTGGGCTTCCGGCACAGGATCTAGGCAATTTTCAAAGACAGAGTCTACAGTATTTTGGAGTCTGAGATTAAGATTTGTGTAGGGCTTTAGGGCCTAGAGTTTAAGCACGCCAAGGCTAGTGTGTATGATTGTCATAACCAGCGCATCCACGATGACGACAGAGCATTGCGCTCCTGCGGCTGCCGTTGCTGGTACAACGAGTACAATGAGTGTTCTCACAATTTGGACTGTTGGTTTGGACCACGTGCATCCTTCCTCACTGCATTGAGCTGAAGCCATTATGCTACGAATGCGAGTGCTACAACACGTTTATCCTTGCTTTTCTTCTCTTCTCTCTCTCTCTCTCTCGCTTTCTCTCTCTCTCTCTCTCTCGCACTCAGTCTTTTTCACTGTCCTCCCAAATCACTGAACGCACGGAGCCTTGTAACACCCCAACTGCAGGACCCCCGTAGCCCCGCAGGCGTGTACTTTGCCCTGGCCAGCGGTCTCCTGAGCTTCCTGAGCGGTGTGTGCCTGGTCTTTGCTGAGCTCCTTGGCAGTCGTGACCCTTCAGAGTCGTCGTAGTCGTGATGGTGGTAGTGGTGGCAGCCGTCGGCGTCGTTGTAGCAGTAGCAGCAGCAGCGGCAGCAGCAGCGGCAGCAGCGGCAGCAGGAGGAGTAGTAGCAGTAGTAGTAGTAGTAGTAGTAGTAGTAGTAGCCCCCCCATGAACTACACCTCGTCATCGTCATGAGCATCAACATCATCGACATCATCCAAGTATCATGATCAACATCATCCAACAATCATCATCAACATCATCCTAAAACCATCCTCCAACACACTTGCTCTTAAACATGTTCAGGCAACATCCATTCTACTCGGTATTTGCAGCACTTTCGTCATGTAGGATCATCTTGTGAAGCCTCAAAGTCGACTTATCGAGTTTGCAAACTCGAGCTTCAGATTTTGGACTTGTTTTTGTGTGTGCGCGAAACACTGTCGTGATGATCCCCGCAAAAACTTCCCGCACGCAATTTCGAGTTTTCGCCGCAAGCCGTTCGAGACACCGAAGGTTAAGACGCACAGTCCAGAAGTAGGGGTGGCATATATATATATATATATGAATGAAAGTACGACATCACCATACTCTAAATACCGAGTAAGGCGGCTCTTGTGGTGATATTGTTGGTNNNCTGTCGTCATCGTCCCCCCCCGCCCCACCCCTCCACCCCCCCCAGACACAAGTCCAAAATCAAGAGGCCCTATTTGCAAACTCGGCAAGTCGATTTCGAGACTTCTTATGATGATCCCACATGACGAAAGAGCTGTAAATACCGAGTGAAACGGATGTGCTCTTACGACGGTTTAGAGCAAGTGTAGTTGGTAGGGGCGGGGGGGCGCCGCCTGGTAGTAGTAGTAGCAGTAGTAGTAGTAGTAGTAGTAGTAGTAGTAGCCCCCCCATGAACTACACCTCGTCATCGTCATGAGCATCAACATCATCGACATCATCCAAGTATCATGATCAACATCA